AAGTGAACTCAAAACCAAGCTGACATATAGAATACAAAAGTTAGATATGAAATAAAAATAGATTTGAGCTTAAAACTCGAACTGTGTTGTCAGGACAAAAGTTTTACATATAAATGCCAGGTTTTAAATGTTATATTAATGGGCCAACACAATGGTTTGACATGTATATTACCTTTTACATTTTAATGATTACATACAATAAATAGTTTAGTGTTTTTTAATTGCTTTACTATTCATGTCAGTCTATAATAGGCTGTGTCATAATGACAGGTTTCCATTGTGACAACATGCCCCACTGTTGGCATATTGTTTGAGAAATTGTTGCATGGACATTGCACTGTACAAATGGGCTTTTCGTTTATTCAATATTAAGATTTGGGTCTGATTTTATACAGCGGTGTAAGGGACAGTATTTGCTTTGAAAGTAGTGAATTTAAGTAGTCAACTACCTTCATGTAAATAATCAAGATTAGACATTAAATGGCATAACCTTTTTATTTTGACCCATCTATGGACAGCTGCAGCATCAGCATGATCTGTATAAACTTGCAAATAATGCTGATGAGACAAGTCTTAACTGAAAAATGTCAAGACACATTTGGTATATAGCTGGTGTAGAAGACTGCCCTAAAAGAAGCAACTATTAATCTTAAAGAAAGTCATTTATAAAATATACAAATATCCTTTGACCTTCACTGATCTCAGAAGCATTTTTGCTATGATATGTATCTTAAACCTCACTCTAACAGTCCACAACTTTGTCAGTTGTGTTTCGGACATTAGGAAATGACACCATGCTTCCTGCCGGTCTGTATGAAGGCATCTACAGTACGATCAATGTCCTCATCAGTGTGAGCTGCAGAGATCTGGACTCGAATGCGGGCTTTTCCTTTGGGAACGACTGGGTAGGAGAAACCGATCACATACACTCCTGATGACAGAGAGAAAAACATTGTTTTAAACAGGCTGCTGGGCTTGCATCATTTATTTTGTAGCAAAACATTTAGATGGACTATTATACATCTGAATTCTGACCCAGTTTTAGCATATCATCAGCCATAAGTGAAGCCAGGCGAGCGTCTCCTAGCATCACCGGACAGATGGGATGAGCTGTGCCAGAAATGGTGAACCCTGCCTGTGTCATGTTGTTTCTGAACCTTTGGGAAAGAAGAAAAGGCGCACAATAGACCATTGTTCTCATTAGCTCAATGAATTCCAAAAATCCTTTATTCTTAAAAGCATTCCTACTTTCATACTGAACCAGCAAAAGTCAGCTCTTTTTGTTTTGACTGCAATGTCATCCCAGATAGACTGCTGCTTTGAAAAGCAGACTCTGTTCGTTTTAACTCTGCTGCTTATCTTCGGTCCACAAAAAGAGAGCAGTAACGCAAGCTAAAGGGTGTAACTGAATCTATAAATATCACAGAGCGCCCACTCCCCCCTCCGATCTCACCTCATGGTTTTAGCTGCCATGGACTGAGCGATTTCATTGGATGCCAGCAGCAGTTCCACAGCACGGGTGGCACAGCCCACCACAGGAGGAGGGAGGGAGTTTGAAAAGAGGTACGGACGAGACCGCTGTCTCAGAAGCTCAATCAAAGCCTTGGGTCCGACGGTGTAACCACCTGACCGAGAATTAGAAAAATATACATTTGAAAGGGCTAAAATTGCTCCAGTCTTATTAGCAAAGGAACTTTGCGATTTTATTTGTTATTTTGCCTGACATAGGAGCTTGACTATGCAAAACTGTGCTCCAGATGATGTCTGATATCTATACGAACCAGCAGCTCCTCCCAGTGCTTTTCCCAGAGTGGAATTCACAATGTGCACCCTGTCCATCACTCCCAGCAGCTCATCGGTTCCTCTGCGGGAAATAAATGTATGAACATCCACTTGCAATGTAATATAATATGACATAATACTTTCTTACACAGTTTAATTAAGTCTTTATACATGAAAATATAAAACTCTCTTTATATTTGAGCTAAGATGTGGATCTCTCTGAAGCGATTTTCACATTAGGGGGTCCTCGGTTCGAGTCCCGGCTTGTGGACCTTTCCCGATCCCGTCCCCCTTCTCTCTCTCTCCCACTTCACTTCCTGTGAACTAACTGTCCTAAAAATTTTGCCATAAAGGCAAAAAAACGCCAACAAATAAATCTTAAAAAAAAAAAGTATTAATTAAGGAACGATAAAGCCATGAATCAAACCAACCACAACATCAAAAACCTTGATTTGAACCAAGAAAAATGCAAAGTGTATTTAACGACTTTAATGACAGAACTACAATCTCATAATGCATTGCAAACGACAACTGAAATAAAAAACGATTCATAAATGTTGATTTAAAGCTGTTAATTACACATATAGAAACGATGCATTTTTTGTTTATTGCTAAATATTCATACATGTTCAAATATTTAAATAATGTGTGAAGGGAGATTCACTATCATGTCATTTGCAATGCTTATTTGTCGCTACAGAGCTCTTTGCACAATTTGCTTGTTTTGATTTTCTTATTGTTGGGGCTTTCTCTGCAGAATTATGGGTAATGTAGTTTTTCTCCAAAAATTTCACTGTTAAACATGATTATTTAAATATTAAGTTTAAATATGGGCCGATGACTTCCAAAAAAATAAAAAAATATATATACACACACACACTATATATATATATATATA